TAAAATTTCAATAATTTGTTATCGAAATCAAGCCAGTGTAATGCTACTCATACCAAATAGAGCATTGCGCTGTTGAAAACCTGACCGTCGCTAGAATTTTCTTTTCCGTGAAAGGTATTAATCAAGTCCACCACGGTACTGTACTTCTGTATGTAAGTAGTTCACACGATATCGTACAAATGGAAGACACTGAATAGTTTTACGACTATTTAAAAACATTTGGAAAGTACTTTTGCACTAAAAGACAACATTTTTTCTTACATGTGGATTTCAAACTACACTCAGAAAAATAATTTCGTTGAGTTAACAAGACTTTAACTAAATCTCAGATCAAAATATTTTTTCTTATCATGTTGTTTCAAACATACCTCATTAGGGTGGCTCAGAAAAACTAAAATGCGATTTTTAATGAGCGCACCCCCTAGGAATATGCCATTGACCAAAAAAATGATATTTCCAAAGTTTTGGATCAATAGGATTAAAAATGACGTTGCGCCACTCGAGCAAAGTTGGGTTTTCAGTACAAAAAACAGAAATTTTTCAATTCAAGGTCATTTTTTATCTTTGTTACTTGTTTCAATAGTTACTAATATATACTCATTTGATAGATAATTGAAATATCTTTTTAGTAAGATACTGATGAGCAAAATCGGTTAAAAATTATGCGCAAAATACAATAATTAGTTGAGCGACTGTGCTCTGTTTTCTATTTCAGACCTTTTAGCTGGCATGCACAAGTACGTAATAGGTATATGCTACGATTTAGTTAATTATTTATAAAAAATTATAATATCAAGAAAACCCTTTTTTTCAGTAATTAATATATTGTGTTTATTATGTTTTATAACATAAATCTGACTACGTGAAGGATAATTTTTATGATAATGTTTGACTACTTGCAGAACATATGTTATTGTTTTTCCTCTTCATATTTTGTCAAAATCGAATTATAATCCATCATAAGCCTAATTCCTCTTTCTATACAATCATTTATCATATGAAGTCTGGCACAGAATCCAAGTGCATCTCTATAATCTTGCGTCTCCATCCATGGCGAAGGATCTAAACTGATAAAACTATTAGATAGGCAAAAACGATCAAAAAATTTTTTATCCCTTGGA